TTGGAGTGCTTTGCCCAGAGAGCGCTTTTGGCCAGACCCCTAGTGTTTGTAGATCTCTGGATCTCTCTACGATGACCTAGGCTGGAAAACTCATTGTGACTTTTTCTGGATTTCCTCATTATGATTCAGTCCTGTGCATTTTCTAGATCTCTCTGGAGAAGTTTGGAAAGAAGAGCTCACTGTACTGCTTCTGGCTATTCCACCAACTTGGTTCTACTTCAGGATACAATTACTGTTAAGAAAAACTAAGAATTTCCTAGCTGATCTGCTTTTGGCAAAAAGAAAGCCAGGCCAATTTATAATGTTTCTTCTCATTTATTTTCCCCCTTCTGTCAAGATATTTTGTGGTATTTGCCAATGACAATATTGCTTCTGTTTCTCTCTCCGTTCATTGTTACCAAAATGCCTCCGTCTCTGGTTTCTGTACTTTGCCCATGATTCTATTTTCTTAAGATATGATTCTACTGTCTCACCCTTTTCAATTGATTCTTCTGAATAACATATACCCTTTCAGAACTTCCATCTAGTCCTGAATCCCATTCTACTAATTTTCATTTATATCTGTGAGGTCACATTTTCCTTTTCGTCTTAGAATTTCTAGTTCACTTTGCTTGTTCTCGGACCATATTTTCTATCACTCTTCTTTCTACATTGTAGCTACTCTCTATGGAACCTGGGATACTAGAGATATTAGCCAATACCTATAGTAACCATTTTACGTGCCATCCAATATTTACTAGCTGTTGTGACCCAAAGAAATCACTGAACTGCCCTGTTCTTGAGTTTCCTCAATGGTAAAATGGGAATAATAATATTTAGCTATCTAACTTCAAAGGGTAATTGTGAGGAAAATATCTGTGAAACTTAAATCAGCAATTATTGTGTAAACTCTCACTAGTCCACTGTTACTACGTTTTAAGCCATATTCCACAAATCCAAATCCCATTTGTGGATGTCATTTTTTTTAACTGTCTGGTCACCTCCCATGCCTGCCTTTCTCTTCTAAACCTTTAATTGGCAGGCAGTAGTGGTAGGAAAACACCACCTCTTCCAATTTCTCTAGCATATTATTGTTTCTCCAGGATTAAACATCTCTAAGTCATACTCAAAAAGAAAAGCAGTATATTCTTATATTCATGATATTATATATTTCCTACTTTTCTTGTGTTACAGAACCTAGGCATGCATTTTCCCATAAAATTATGTGAAATATTTTCCAAGATATTTTCCATATATTGATTTTTCTTATAAAACATATTATCACCAAATTAATATTTATAAGCAAATGAATCCAGCCTATAGACCATGGCATTGTTTTCGGCAATGTGATTCACCCTAACATAGCTTCTTACTCCATTACAAGGCTTGAATGATTCACGTGCAATGTTTCCAATCCACTTTTCTAGGCTCGTGAAACTTTTTAACGAAATGTTAGCATTTGCAGGCACCAGATGTTTTGACATAAGGAGAAGCAATATGTAAATTTTAATCCATGCTAGGAACAATAGCCTGCAGGCACCTTTTTCTTATTACATGAATCATATACATAACCACAATGTGGTGGATCATATCAAAATCATCACCAACTGGAATACAGTACTCTTGTCCTGGGGTTGCCAATTAATAAAACTGATATATATTTAACTCTATAGGTATTAGTGATTTAGCCAATAAGCCTTCTCATACTATGCTACTGTAACCACTAAATAAATAGGTCGTATCCTGAAGGTGATTAACATGTTTTTTTTTTAATTGCTGGTGTTCTCTAATCTCCCATTAGTTGTCAACAAAAATGATGTACGCATCACATATGATTGGTTTTCATTTGTCAATATTACCACTTTTAATTAATTTTTTTTTTTTTAGTAATGAGTATCTTCCCAGATCTCTCCAATATCTTTTGACTTGGTAATTTTTTTCTTTCCAAATAATAGAGGTGACTTGGAGATAGCCTCAACTGTTTCCAAGAGTACAACATTAAAAAGGAACTCTCTTGTTAGGATCAAAATCCCTTGTAATAAAGAATGAACTAGAAAGCAGTTTCTTACAGGCTGTTTACCCAAAACTAAAGTAAATGTAAAAATTTATTCAACCATATGATATTACAATCTAGATGATACTAAAATCTCCAATATTTTTTCTTTCAAAAAATGTGTGATTTATTTTGTCCCATAAAAGTGACAATTTTTTTTTCTCAGTGATATGATTAAAGTGGGTAACTGGTTTGATGTTGGTAAGACATGACCTTGAAATAAAATAGCTATCTGCCAAAGGGAAGGAATAAGAGAAAGCTCACTGAAAGAGAATGCTAACCTTTACAACCTACCTAGGACTAAAACATACTGTTAGTTATTTCTGAGGTGGCTATGCATTGAAGATATGCATTTGGTGCAAATCTATACCAATGTGGAAAATCTCTCTACCAATATAGATGGGCAACTCACCTATATCTTATAGTTGTAGTGAATTATCTGGAATACCACGAGGTTAAGTGATTCACCCAGAACACAACTAGTATATGTCAAGGGTAAGACTTGAACTCAAGTCATCTTGATAACAAGCCTGGCAAGCCATCCATTCTGCCATTCTACCTCTTAAAGGTATATATAAAATTGGCCAAAACATACCTTCTGATGTTAAGAATAATGCTCTACAGGAAATCTTTATCCATTTCATTTAAAAATGCAATCATACATTAAGTGGCATTCCTTTTATGTGTTAGAATAGATGGTCCATGAAGTCCTTTCCCACACCCCCAAAAATCTAGGATAAACAGAACATTTAATTTTAACTTAGAAAATATTTTAAAATCTGATATTTAAGAAACATTAAGGTATTGAATTAGTATCACAGAATTTGGAAATGGGAAAGGAATGTCTCAACTTGTAAAGGTTTTTTTCTTTTAGAATTTTGCAATATTTTAGCAGATCCATCACCATGCTTGCTAGCTATTTGGCAACATTTTAAAACATTTGCCATGAATTAAAGCCTTAACAGCAGGAATAAGCAGATGGCAAGAGACCCTATTAAAGAAAATATCAATTATTTTCATTGGAGAAGTATTAGATCATGATGTGTTATCATGGACTACGTGTTTATCAGTTGTCAAGTATTTCATCAGTTCAATATTCTCTCCAAAGCCTTAGCTCGTTTTTTCTATTATCTAGCACTGTGAATATAGGAAGACAAAATAAGAAGAACTGTTTTTTTAAAAATCTATTATTTAATTGAATATATATAACAAAACATCAGCACATTATAAAAAGGCATTTTATAAAGATTGCATTATGTATTAAGGCAATCTATTCTTGTACATTTACTTAGAAAACAACATACTGTGATTTAAAATGAAAAATTGCAATAATTACAAAATTCTACAGTTTTATAATAACATAAATGCTTTCCCTGATCTAACCAACTTAAGTAAATTAAAATTACAGTCACTTTACATCAGCCATTCATATGTATAGCCCTATTAAAGTCAAAGATTTTATAATGGTGTTCTTATTAAGATTAAATGACTGAATTATTTTTAGTCTTTTATGCCATGAGCAACTACATTACTGTTGATTTAGATGTTTGAATTGGCTGTAGCTTTTCAAACAATAACCATGTGGAAGGCAGCAAAATAATTTGTTTCTTTTTATTGGCATATATATGCATTTCATGAATTAAATGAGAGGATAGTTTGATTCTTTTTCCTTTTGTATCATCATCTTTTTGGTTTTTGCTCTATGACCCTTGCTTTCAAATATCTGTTATATAACACAAAATATTTTTCTTTCAATATATAAACAATGTCATTAAAATTCAGAATTATTTCTTTCTGGGAACACAACCTTAGAAACACAGAAGCCTTTCACTTCTTAAGTCCTGAGTCATAAATGAGGAAACTGCAGTTTTTACAAAGGATTCATCAGTAGAAAAGATACTGAAAATAATTTGGATATATGCTATTACACATGTAAATCCCTTGTAAGAAAAAGGTGAGAGAAAAAATTCCATTTATATATGTAAAGCAGTAGACAGCAGTATCTCATTGCTAAATTGGATGGGTACTAGGAAAGAATTAGCCCACCCCACCTTGGAATGACTTTCTCTGAGAGTTTCTCAAGTTCAGTAGCACTCCCCTTCTCCCGCCCCTCCACCTTCCTTCTGAATCTCCCAGGGAAAATGTAGTGCAGCACCATTTTAAGGACAGAATTCTTTTCTCACTTCCTGACCAGACTATTCCAGTTTCACCTTAAAATAAATCACAGAAGTATTTAAAGTATGGGGATGCACAATGACTAATGAACCATGGAGTAGTTTCTACTATTAATCATAAAGGGTACATAATTTAACGCATAATAAATCATTTATCAGGTCATATACACACCAAAAAAAGCTCATTATGTAATGTTCATTCTATAAACTATTGAAATCGGTATAATTTTAGGTCACCCGAATTCAAATTTTAATGCACTCGTCTTGGAAAAGTAGTATATTACAATTTTTTTTTGAAGTGTAAAATTAGTCATTATGAAGATTTTTTTTCTTTTTTTGAAGGATGGGGGATTTCACAGTGGTGTCATACATCTCTGATTCTGGCTAGGTAATCCTGAAGATTGTCAAAGTTACATGTATTTGTAAATATCTATATGCTTTGTCCTGTTTAGATAACATGAAAAAAGAAACAGATTTTTCAGGTGTATTTTCATCTACTTGTTTGGTATCACTACATAATTAAGTTATTAATTTGAGAACTAATACCTTTATATATGTGTGAATGGCAGTGAAGTCTTGGAATCAAAAGGTTTGTTGTTGTTCAGTCATATCTGACTCTTCGTGACCCCATTTGGGATTTTCTTGGCAAAGATACTGGAGTGGTTTGCCATTTCCTTTTCCAGGTCATTTTACAGATGAGGAAACTGAGGCAAACAGGGTTAAGTGACTTGCCCAGAGTCACACAACTAGTAAGTGTCTGAGGCCAGATTTCATCTCAGGTCTTCCTGACTCCAAGCCCAGCACTCTATCCACTGTATCACCTAGCTGCCCTTGCTGAATCAATAGGACCCAGGTTCAAGTTCTGCCTCTAATAAATACTAGCTGCATGGCCATGGATAAGTCATTGAACCTCTTAGCATTCTAGATATCCCCCAAAGATCATAAATTGCAGAAAAGATACCAGATAACCCCTGATGAAGGGCTTTACTGCACTAGGAATTCCCTACACTAATGAAATCATGGTGGACATTTTATATATGTGTCTGGGTATAGAGTATGTATGTGATTAAGAATATTGTCTATTAAAATCCCCAATTGGGAATTAAAATCCCCAAAAAGAAGTTCTTCTTACTCCCAGAAATCAATGCCTCTTAAATGCTATGAACTGACTTGTAGGCTATGAAATGCCTGCTTTCTGACTTCAGCTGCCAAAAAATACAATTAACAGATATTACTGTGAATCCCAAGTCACCCGACCAACCAAAATCAGGAATAATAAGCAGAGCAAATCAAGGTGCCTACAGCCAAATAGTTTAAGAGGTTTCAGTATTGTATTCTCCAATGAGTTTAAAGCCCATCGTAGGGAAAGGCAACTTGAAAATTTGAGGTACGAAGTGGGAAGAGAAAAGCCTATTTGACCCAACTCTACCCACTTCACCATTTCTTTTTGCTATTTATCCTTTGGTGTTCCTTTATCTACAGTTGGGTTTCCCCTCCCCCACCTCAGCATCCCTGCTCTCCAATCTTTCTTCCCCTTCCTCCATTTCACTGGCCTTGACACACCCCCACTCTTCCTTTGCTCCATCTTTAAAAACCCATTACCCATTTTACAATCCCTCCACAGCAATTATAATCCTGCAGCAGCCACTGCTGCCCTGTAGTTATTAGTGCCATCTCCAGCCCTCTTTTGGGCATGCTTTGCTTTCAATTTTTTGTATGCAGTCCTTATTAGTAGTAGTGATTATGAAGAGGAACAGTTGCTAGTACTACTCCAACAGACCAGAGACGTCTTGAACCAGCAGAGGCAGGCAGGATGACAATGTTTTAATGTTTTAAGACTGCAGAGCATGAGAGAATAAGCAATGAGAAGAGAGCAGAAAGCAGTCCCTACCTAGCAAGTCATGTTACTCATCATTCTAAATTATGGAGTTCCTCCTTTTCACTTGGAAATGTCAAATTAATTACCAAGGGGTAGGTTTTCATAGCAAAGGTAAATCAACAAGCATTAAGTGCCTACTATATGATAGGCATTGTATTAGACATTTTCATAAACTGGAAGGTTGATTTTGTAAATAAAAATAGGGTCCTGGAAATGATGTTATGAGTATAACTTCTTAATCTCATTTTAATCCTTGTTTTCTCATTCTAATCTGAAGATGTAGGTAGGATAAATTTGTCTGTCTTTGTGGTCCTCTGAGGAAATTAAGACCACTGCCTCTAAATCCAAGACCTGAATTACAGTCAAAGAAAAAATTAATTTTTTGGTGGGGGAAGAGGAGTAGAATGGATCATAGAAACTAAGCGTAACTCCTTTAAATTGCCCATGATCTCAATTACAGAAACATTCCCATCTCAAAACATATACTGAATAGTATTACATGCCTATATTTTCCAGATAAAGAAATACATTCATTCACTCACTCAGTATAACAAATATCTATAAAGTGATGAGTGATAAAATTTCTTTAGTCATTTCATAAGCATTTTAAACTATGGTTCCTGACAGTATATAATCTAGCAGTTTTTGTAGGATGTAATAATTTTCTGTTTTATTGCATCTAAATTCTTCTACCTAGTTTTCAAGGCCTTCTATAATTTCTTCTACCCAATCTATATTCTTAAATGCACCCTTAACTCAGGTCAGGAATGTAATTTTCTTTGCCTTGCTCATATTATTCCAGTTACCCTCTTGGATGTACCAACTGCCATCTTCTCCAAAGCCTACACATCATCTTCAAAGTTTAAATCAAGTTCCAGCTCTTCCTTGAAGCTTTCCTTTGTCACTCTGTCCTTCCCTGATCTTCCTCTCTTTTGATTTTCTGAAACATTTGGAGTCTATACTCTGTATTTCAGATGTTAATTATATTTTGTCCTATGTTGGCTCATGTATGTCAGTCTTATTGATTAGACTATAATCTTCCTGATGGCAGAGGCCAAGACTTATACTTCCCTCTGTCTCTTTGTGATGAATAAAAAAGTGCTAAGCATTGAGCTCTTGCTAAGTACTCATTAAAAAGTTGCTAATGAGTTACTTGCTTAAATGAACTAGGTACCCCTTATTAGTCTTTTTGGTAACTCAAGTCTTAAAATACAAAAGATACTCAGAAGATACAAATTTGCACGAATTAATCTAGGAACCCAAACTCACAAAAATTCTCCAAGTTCTTTTAAAGGCAATACCTTCCTCTGGGAATGGATAGAAATAAGTAGCAGTTTTAAAATCTGTTGGTTCACCCAATACTTTCATCATCATCTCCATCAGTGATTACTTAGTTAATACCTAATGTTAGTCACAATCATAATTTTTAAAAGGTGGACTACTAAAGAAACACTTGAAGTCATAACTTATTGCTAGTCAAAATAAACATCTAATCATAATTTAATGTCATTTCCTATAATCAAGCACTTTTCTTTCCTGATAAAGAAAAGAAAGATATGATTTCTCAAGCTGACTACAAAGTCAGAAGGGTAAAAAAAGAAACGAATAGCATTTTTTGAGACAGTCATTTTAGAGGTGATGTGACATAAGCTCACTTTTTAAAATGTTATCATGAGCAGTGGGATGGGAAAATTATGTATCATGTTCTTTGTTCTAGACTAAATGCATCTGTCATCAACTACACTGTGAGGCTTTGAGAACAAGTGAAGTGAAAATGGCTAGAAGAATTAGGAACAATTTGTTAAAGTGCTTGGGAATTTTCAGCACTTTGCTTTGGAAAATGTCCAGTGTTTACTGTAGATTTAATTCTAATTATCCAGGGGCAGATGTTCCATTTTGTAATACATCTCCATTTGGCTATGGGCTCTCATTAGCATGTCCACCAGAGGACAAGGGGGAGCCAATGAACCATAAATCTATCAATCTTGCTGCTCATAAACTGATTTTTTTTTAATGTTGGGCAATGGACAAGATTGAAATGAATGACAAAGTAGAGGTTTGAAGTTTTCATTGACTATAATCGATTCTATCCATAAGCACTTAGCTCAGTTTCTACTTTCAAACCTCAGTGCAGGGCTAACTCCAAAGTAGAAGTCTGTATCCTATGTTTATTTCTTAGTTATAATTTTCACACATCCCTTCCTGGGAACCATTTCAATATTGGTTGAAAACTTCAGAGAGAAAGAAGTATCCATGCAAATGAGGTAACTTTAGCCAAAAATATTCCTCCAACTTAATTTTGCATCTTCAAGCAGTCTCCTCCTTCGCTTCAACACTCCTCAAAACCCAGTTTGCCATGAACAACTTATTCTGTTACAAAAATTAAGCCTCAGCAATATACCAGACTCAGAGCATAATCACATAGCACCAGCAGAGAATTCCTTCCCAATGTGAAGATAGGGTCTGTTCAGTTTTTTTTTTCTTTTTTATAGCTCATCTCCATCATCTGTGCTAAAACTACTTCTCCTACTGCTGTCTTTGGATACTGTAGGTGAAGTGGCAGATAGCAGAGGATCTGTTCCAAATGGAGATATTGAATCATCCAGTAATATATGATCCAATCTTTGTTCCTCTTTCAAGGCAGCACTAAATGATAAATCAGTAAAGTGTGACAGGGGATAAGAAAAAGCCATGGATCCATCGCAGAGGTCAGATCTTGATCCCTGAGCCAGAGTCAGTTCTTGGGAATAATCGCCTGATTTATCCTCTGGATAGGTCTGATGATTGGCGGTATGGGCAACCAAATCAATTGCACTGTGTGAAGAGATGATTGGCAGACCATGTGCCCGAGCTTGTATTTCCAGTTCCTGTAGGTTGAAATAACAATTCAGTAAGTACTTTGAATGTAAATGTTACAATGTAATGCTCTCCAGAATTAGACCCATACGATTAATAGGTATTCATATTGTGAACTGTTATGCTATTAAATATTATCACTATTAAAAATTGCAATTCTGCCCCCCCAAGGGAAAAATTATAGAAACTAGTCTATTTCTAACTAAAAGAAAAAGAAAAAAATATTTAGCTCCCCTCTTCTCACCAATCCTGTTGTTCCCTGGAAATCTGAAGAACACAAGACAGTCCCATGTTACCACAGAGCCTCTTGGAGGTTATGGAAAAATCAATGATTTATTTGAATTGAATAACTTCGCACAACAGTCCTGGACAATTTTACATAAAGCTAGCAAGTACTATACCGGCAATATGCATACCATCTTAAGCAGAAGAAAAAAAAACCTTGAGGAGTAAGAACTACGAAAATCCATATTCTGGTACTTTGTGTCACATGTACAGGTGATGAGTGACTAAATATTACCTGGCACAACATACCCTGAGGCAAAGCAAACCATAGGAATGTTACTAAAGGAAAAAAAATGGGGGGAAGAATTTAGTGTCCTATATTATTTTGAGAAATAAAGGTGATACTTAGTATAAAGTATAATACATACACACACACACACAGCCGTGTGTGTATGTGTACATGCGTGCATGCATGCACCTTTTGGCTGGAAATATACTGTGCAAATGGGATAATCACATATTCCCAAAATTTTGTAATTAGTTCTCCAGATATACACACACACACACACACACACACACACACATATATATAATCCATAGTTACATAGTTTTGACTAGCAATAACATATGCATAATTTATATATATAGTTCTCCAGATTATGTATATATTTTAAGGTCATCATAATTTTGGATTTTATAACTAAAAACCAACTTAAACAACCTGCTCTATGAATTTGCAGAGGCATTTCAAATTGTCCTTCAGAGAGGAGGGAAAAAAAGGGAATGAGGAAAAAAATAAATGAGGCCAATGAATAAAACTGATGATGGGAAAATGGTGCATAAGCTTCGCGGTTCATGGAAACATTCTTATAAAAACCTGAATTCGAAGTAGAAGCTGTCGGTTAACCAGCTCTAATTTCTTCTGCCTGTGTTCTAATTCTCGGGCTCTCTGTTGTTCTTTTTGTAGCCACTTGATGTACTCCACTGAGGCTTTTAAAATAGTTCCTTTGTTCCAGCGCATATCACTGTGGAATGTAGAGATAACCTTTTCACAATTGTGCATGTCAGCAGAATTCATAAGAACTTACAAAATCTTTTACATTAATATGAAATAATGATTTACATGACTATTATTCACTCTTAGATATTATTGCTTCTGAATAGAAATTTTAATAGAATAGTTAAGAAGCCCTTATATAGTAAAATTAATCCCTGAATGAAAATAAGTGTCAAAAGAAAGTAATAAAGTGACTTTTTGTGGGAGAGCTAAATACAATATCATGATTCTACCATTACAGTTTTTATATTTTTAGTGAAAATTGCTTTTATTATTAACTCTGAGATTAAAATCTATGTGCAGTATTTCTGCATTAATGAACTAGGAAATGTATATTACTGAGGACTTAAGCCTAAATTTTTTAAGATCATTTCAAATATACTACTCTTTTTACCTGACTTTCTAATAAGGTTGCTTTTATGCTTGTTAGAAAAAAAATAATAAAAAAAGGTCCATACCAGTGCTGATCCTCATTGATTGTGGAACAGGCAAACTGCACAGTTTAGTGATTTACTATTATATCACTAATAAGGCAAAACTTTCTTAAATGATTTAGCAAAACTTTCCTTATGAAATGCAGCAAAATGGTTGAAAACGCTAGATGCTTATTTGAAACCAGATATTTAAAAAGGCTAAATGATATAAACACGACAGACTCAAAATCATGGAATTCTAGAGCAATCAGGAACTATAGATTAGTTTAGCTTGTTCATGCCTCTTCTACAGATGAGAAGCCTGGGACCCAGGAAGGTTATGACTTGTCCAAGGTCAAGTACATTAATTAGTGGAAGGAGTAGCATTAAAACCATGGCCTCCTGATTCCTAGTCCAATTTGCTTTCCACTAAAACACTCTGCTGCTCACTTCCTGTTAATCTTTCAGGTTTGCATGAAAGAAATGTGCATTTTATTAAAACACATATAATTTTTATTATAGAAGAAATTCCAAATCTGAAAACATGGAACAGACTATAGATTTTAATTCCTGAGAACATCTATCAGTGGAATCAAAGCCAGATGAGTATTTGCATGTATGCACTAGAAAGTGGGCATACCTTCAGTGTCATATTAAGCAGATCTAGTTAAAAATTTTACTGAATTTATAGCTAATAGGCAGTAGGGATTTTTTAATGCAGCATAAATAAATAAATAACACAGTAATACAATTGGACTTCTTTCAATGCCTGTTTTTTGAGGCATGCTAGATTTCACTCTCATAGACTGTATATGAATAACATTGAAACATAGCATATAGTCTTCTGGGGTTGAGTGGTAATATGTAGAAAGCATGCCATCTGGCATGCAAATGAATGATTTGTGTGTTATATGTAGACAACATGTAGCAGTGACTTCAGCTGTTGCACAAAGGAAAATACTTTTTAAAAAAATCACTGAAAGGGATGCGAAAGTCAAATTGCTCCTAGGGTTCCCTTCTTCACAGATGCACTGGGAATGTGTCCTGCATCAGTCACATTATAAAGGTGTGCAGGGAAACCACAGTTTCTGTCACTGCCTTTCAGAAGCATAATATCTTTTGGTCTTAACACATTGACCCATCCCACACTCTTACTTGGTAGTAGAGGTAAGCATCATAGTACAACAGAAAAAGGGCTAGTATCAGAGAGGTCTGTGTTGCAATTTCATTCCTGCCACTTGATGCCACCTGTGTGACCTTAGAGAAATCACTTAACTTCCCCAAGTCTCCTTTTGTTTATTAATAAAATAAGAGCATTGGACTAGATGGTTGTAAGATCTCTTTCATCTCTGACTCTATTATCTTAATAAGGGAACACTGGCCACTTTTATGTTACATAGAGCAGGACCTGTGGTTGAAAAATATGGAAGACTCCAAACCTAAAGATGGAAGTATGAGCAGAGAAGCCACAAGATGTCAGCTCCCTTTCCCATGTTAAAAAAAAAATCTTCTTTGCTAATTTAGAGGCTTTATGTTATGTGATTTAGATCTAAATAAGTCTTTCAAAAAGGTGGTAGGAATTATGTAACAATGGATAAGAACTAGAGATAGTTCTTATCTTCAATTTATTATAGGGTTACCCCTTACAAAATTTCAAAAACACTAACCTTAAAAATGGTTTAATCCTTGCCATTGCTTTCTTTAAAAAAAAAAATCCTATTGGGTTTTTCAATCTGTTTAAGCAATTTTCACCTGTCACTTAAGGGAATTTTAAGCAGCTAGTTGGTTGGTGGTTGTCCTTCTGGAAGAGGACCAAAATGACATCACTACGTTGGGGTCAACTGAAGTAATCAGACCAATACGAGCTTAGAAGGCTTTACCACAGGTTGGGCACAAATAGTTCATGGGAATATTTGGAGTGGAGATGTCTCTAAATTTGGGTATCTCATGTTTCTTTTGAGCTGCTATAATTCTGCTAGCAGCTAGTAACCAGTGAGGGGCACCTGATTGCTCTGCAATACCAAATCTTTTTCTAAAATAATGGCTCAGGATGTCCACCCAATGTAGGCATAAATAACTATCCAGGAACATTTTTGAAAAATAAAATGTTCTCCCTTTCTTTCCTGCCCACTCTGCCAGAAGCTAAAGTATTTTTTTATAATTTATAGGTATGATTTCACTCCTGTCACTCCCATTTTCATATAAACCCAAAACTAAAGTCACTTATGAAGACAGTCGAGGAAAAAAATAAATCAATTTCATGGATTTAAACGAATCAATTTTGTAATGTATAAATTATGGTGATTGTTTAGTATCATGGGAAAAGTATGAGTATACTGAATGAGGATTCTTTTTTTTTCCTTCATTTTGTCATCATTTAAACAACCTGAGAAAACAACAATGATGGAGGAAAATCCCTAAAGATTGAAAAAGACCTTTTTTTTTTTTTTGGTAGGACAGCTCCCACACAAGTTTAGGTGGTAGAGAGATGGTCAAACAGCTTTCTCATTAGTAAAAGTACTGTTTTGTGGTATGTTTTTCTCTCATATTTCTCAACCACATGCTTTTCTGCTTATAATTCCATATTTTCTTTCCAATAAAATATCACAAAGATATTCATATAATTCTATGGCACCATGAAATAACATTGCTCTTAGAGTCAAAAGATTTCAGGTCAGGTGTTGGCAAATCATAATTTTTCTGACCTTTGCTTTCCCTACCTATAAAAGTAAGATAATATGTACCCCAAAGAGGCAGTGTGGCTTAGTGTATAGAAAGCTGGCTCTACAGTCCAGAAAACCTAAAATCAATCTTTCCCTCTGACACACACTGCCTTTATGACCCTCCAGAAAATCGTTACGCCACAGGTTCCCTACCTCTATTGTAGATTATTATAAGTAGGAGATTTTTTTTGACCTGATAAAAGTATTACAATCTGTGTCAGAGACAGATATCCCAGAATGCAGTCTCTATTAAGTATGCTTTCAGACCTGCTATGGTGGTGACGAGACACTGAGGTTCCAAAGTTATTTCTGTGACTTAGTGGAAAGGGAATAGAGGAAAACCAGGAGGTGCTTACCACAACCCTCCACTTGGTAACTTCCTTTTAAAAATTTTTTTTGATATTTTGTTGGTGCCTTCTGTTTCCTACATCACCATAGTTATCCCAAGTACCTCTCACCCTCCCTTCCCTCTAGAACCAACCATATAACAAATAGTATTTTTAAGAGAGGAAAAAAATTAGGAAAAGTAATCAATATATTGAAAAAGTCTGAAAACATGTGCAATGTGAACCTTCAGTGGATCTCCCACCTGCAGAAAATGAGTTTGGGGTGTTGTCTGATATCTCCTCATTCAATTTCCTACTTGATCTTAATAATGCTGTTACCTTTATTTTTTTTATGTGTAGTTCTTTCTGTTTATGCAGTGTAGGGATAGTTACAGATTGCATAGTGGATAGAGCATGAGCTATAGTCAGGAAGACCTGAATTCAAATCCAGCCTGTGACACTTACTAGCTCTGTGACCACAGGCAAATCACTTAACCTTTGTTTGCCTCAGTTTTCTCATCTGTAAAATGGAGATAATAATAGCGCCTATGTCCTGGGGTTGTTGTGAAGATGAGATAATACTTTTAAGTGCCTTGAATAGTGCATGGCACATAATAAGGGCTATATAAATATTAGCTATGTTACTGTTATCATCATTATTATTACTGTGTATTGTTTTCTTGGCTCTGCTTATTTCATTCTGCATCAGTTCATAAAGATCTTTCCATTCTTCTCTGTATTCATTTACACACATCATTTCTTACCACACAGTAATATTCCATTACATTCACATACCACAGGCCATTCCCCAATTGGTGGGCATCTACTTTGTTTCCAATTCTTTGCTATCACAAAAAGTGCTGGGTTGCTTCCTATTTCAACTAATTATTCTTCCTAGGTGCTAAAAAGCCTTCAAGAGTTGTCAGTACTCTTTAAATTCAGCACCCTGGGATCCAGTTACTTTGGTTAAGTTATAATTCTGTAAGCTGGTCAAAGAGATAGGTTTAAGGACCAGATCTATAATTTCATTGTTATAAAGAATTCTCAAGTGAGAAAATTCCTTCTTTGATATACGTCAGAACTGTCTTTGCAACTTGTCTTGAATTTTGCATAGATCACTGACAAGTGGCTCACCCAGGCTTAAACAGCCAGTATGTATCAGGGGCAGAACTTTAACACAGCTCTTCCCAGTTTCAAGACTTGCTCTCTATTTTTTATTCATGTTGCCTCCCTAAAGTAAAGGAAATATTTGAGGCTAAAATAGGTAGATTCTCAAAATGCCTGAAGCTAGGTCTACATATTGAGTCTTTAAGGATTAAATCGATGTATTTATGATTAGACTAAAAAAATTACCTGCTTGCATGTAATGCAACAGAACTAATAAATTGTTTTTCTTCAAAATTTTAAAGATACAGACACCCAGGGAATGTTTAAAGTGATGTTCCTTCATTAACATCCTGTTCAAGCATGTATTTCTACATTAAATTTACTTTTCATATTACACAAAATGAGTTTGAACCGTCATTAATAGGGCCCCTCACTTTTATCATGTGTTAACCTACTGTCCTTTCTGTCCATAGGTAAATCTATTTTAAATTCAGCCTAATCTTTCCATCATGAAGCTTTGAATTTCTCTGACTTTTTCTATTTTTTTGCTTCTTCTGAGTTTTCAATTATAAAATAAGGGTCAGGCATATATAGAGGTTATAAGGTGTGTGGCATAGTAGAAAGGGGGCCTGAATTAGAATCCAGTGTAACCCTGGATAAGTCACTTATCGTCTCTGGGGCCTCAGTTTCCTCATCTGGACTGGGAAAGTTGACTAGATGACCTCTAATACAATAAGCTGAAAAGTAAAGATTGTGTTCAATAAACAGGCTACTTGGGTTGCAGAGTACCAAATGCTCAGCTTCACTGAGGTTCTGTCTATATAATCCCACAAAAGTTTTAAAACTTCACCTCATTATTTGACCTATAGGAGTTAAACTTACATAAATAATAACTTTTGTCCCTCCTATAGCTCCAGATCTTTGAGACAACTAGAAAGTTCAAGTTCACTCTAAATGGCCCAACAATATTATGTGTTGATGTACAGAATCACTCTCAAACAGGTTAAATCAGTCCATCTTCTGAATGACCTTTAATCTACCCACTATGATTGACAATATGATGCCAGATATAGAAATTCACTAAGACCTAGAAGGAAACAACCTACTCATTTCCTGTAGATTTATAAAACAACTCTCAGTGATGACATTGACCATTAGCAGCTGTAATCCTGGAATGGATTTTTAAAAATGGGTTTCTGTAATATCCTTATCTTTTCCTTGAGCCACCTAGTTTCCTAGTCATTGGTTCTTCCATTCCCCCCCCCAGTATTGAAACCATAGACATTATTATAGAAATGACTGTTGAACTCACGGATCATTAGACTTTGGAATAAGAGTGCCAAGCTCCTTGATTCGGTAATTAATATTGTACCTTCTTCTTCTTTCAACTATTAGAAAAGAAATGTTATTGATTATTCTCATTAAAGCACAGTGCAATTATGACTAGATGTAAACTTTTTTGAAGACCTCTGAAAAACAGTAGGCAAAGATTATAATTTAGTCATAAAGAGTTATAGACAAAAGAAAAAAAATGGGTGTTATTGTTCTAGAACTAGAAAGATCCTGATACTGCATTTTAAGATTCCCCAAAGTGAATTTTTCCATTCTTTTTTGTGTAGTCTACCACCCACATTAGTTTTAACTTTGTGTGTATATATAAATGGGTATATACACATATAAACATATGAGAAGTTTATGATGGGCTTGACAAGGCAGCAACACTATAAGGAATAACAAATGAGAAACAAAATTGTTTTCCAAAAATATGTGAACAAAAAAGAAAATAGACTAGTCATGTGATGAGAGTGATAGATAATCATTAGCCAACCTACCTGCTCCACTGATGTATTCACAAAATTAAAAGAAAGTGAGGAAGGACCCTAAAACATTGGGCTGATAGCCCATGATGAACTTAGACATGGTAGTGGACAAGAGTTGATCAGGATGGGCTACCACTTAATATAACTGGATAAACTACCTTCCTAGATGAGTTCACAGATCTATTTGAGTATTGATTGTGCGACTTGACACATATATTGATACCAACTAGACTATCAACCCCTAGAGAAGCAGGGACCACCTCTACCATTGCTTTCATGGTCTTCACGATAACTAGAAAAGTGCTAGTTGCATAGTAGGGGTATGCTAACTACTTATTATTTCAAAGTGTTATGTTTTTGTATTATTATAATGATTTTTAGATAACTTGCATTATAAGGTTCAACTTTAATTTATAACTTTCCAAAATGTGACGAAGCATTTTATGAGCTGTAATTTACTGCAAGCACTTTAAATAGATTAAGTTCTTCAAATAAAAACTTTCTTTGGTATGGATTTTGTCTTCTTCTGGTTTCATAGTCTCTCATAGTGACTAGTACAATACAGTATACACAATAAGTGCTTAACAACCACTATGTGAATAAATGGACTTTTCCCATATTAACTAATTCTGGCCATTGATCATTCTTGATTTCAAGCAAATTATTTCATATCACTTATAGACTTGAGCTTCTTAAGAAAGGTCAGAGGACCTTGGTTCAAATCATGCCTCTGCCCTGTTACTACATTGGGACTCTGGGAAAGTCACTTATACTTTCATGATATTGGTTTCCTCAAATTAAAAAATAGGGGGTTATACTAAATGATCCCTTTCTTCTTTAAATCTGTGATCTTAAAAAGGGGATGAAGAGACCTAAAAGGTCCCTAAAGGGAAGAATGCATCAAATCCCCCAAAGTAGATCAAGACGACATTGTAGAATTATTTTGGATCTGTTCTTGAGGACAGTAGGATAACACAAACCTGTAAGAACATCAGCTACCTTAGTGAGCACACTCTCCAAAGCAAATCATGGCTAAAGGATTTCACCTTTAGAAGTACCCTACCAAAATTTCTCTAAAAGTAGAACATAATTGATCCTCAACTCAATGCTGTTTCTTTTTGTACCACTGTTTTTCTGATGAATATAATTTAAAGAAAGGTTAAGTACAATCACTTGAAAATTTTAAGAGAAGAAAAATTAAAGATAAGCCTGAATAACAAAAGAAAATTATTTCACAGTGTATCTTAACTAATAACTATTAGCATATCCAAACATTCCACTCATATATGAAATAAATCCAAAAAAATAAGTTTCAGTTCTGGGTAAAAAGGCTTTTTCCTGCATCTAAAATAGTAGGATACATTACTCTCCTGGTTGTTTGTATAATCTGGTTGTTTGTTACTTTTAAATCCCAATACACAAAATGTCATCAGTTATTAGAATGTGCTCTATAAAATTGCTCATCTATTAGAAAGAGAAATCTAGTTCCCAGTGTTATCCATGTATGCCTTTAAAGTTGAATGATGAATGTTAGGAAATGTATTATAATTTTAGTAATATGTGAAAAGTATGTACGCTTTCAATGTTCAAAATAATTTGTTATTTCATTGCGTTGTAAGAATATATTCTAGAGCAGCTAGGTGGCACAGTGGATAGAGCTCCAGCCTTGAAGTCAGGAGGACCTGAGTTCAAATCTGGCCTCAGACACTTGACACTTACTAGCTGTGTGACCCTGGGCAAGTCACTTAACCTCAATTGCCTCACCAAAAAGCAAAAAAACAAAAACAAAAACAAAAACAAAAAACTACTCCAGTGGATGAAGATAGCACCCAAGGATTCCAGCTAAAACTCTTAAGAATCAGATACCAATATTGTTTTAAGTTAAGTGGCTTTTTTTAAATATCTAAGCTGCCAAGATTGAAGAAAGCTAGGAAGAGTTATTAGCAGCCTACCTGATTTAGGATTTAGAGGCAAGTGTAATAATAAGAGAACCAAGTACCTCCCAGATTAAGTCCTTTCCAATGGATGAAAAGTAATCATATGGGGGTAGTTCAGCAACATGTGCTGAGCTTTGATTTCAATTAGCATTTGAATCAAGTGGAGAACAAATGCAGAGATGAGTCTTCCTTTATTAGAACTAAGGGTAAGAAGAGCCATTTCTTAAAAAGATAAGTATAATACTTTAGTTCATTTTTTGAGTAATAGGCAGTAGTACATCTAGGAGAACTATCCAACATTAGAGCCTCAGTGTTTCAAGAGCACCTGTGCCTGTAACTAATGGCTACTGGGGCTTTGCCTGAGAATGAGTCATTCTATAAAGGCTCCAAATACGTCAGTGGGGCCATAAGTTTCAATATGATTTCCAAGTGAATTGTAATTTGTACAGGCTGAGTCTATGGAGGGTTCAAAAGCCCCTTCTGAAGTCTCTTTCGACTCTGAGTTTCTGTGAATCTGCAAATGGCCATGACAGTATATAAACTACAGAGAAGGGGGAGGGAAGGTAAGACCAGAGTCAAGAGAGTTCAAATTTTAATTGAATATACTGAACTAAGCCATAAACTGCCATTCTTCACTCTAATGCCAAGACTGCAATATGTCACCATTACATTCAAATTTGAAACATGTTTTGTCCCCATAAAAATTCAAGCGTATGACCTTCAAAGAAATAGAAAAATTACTCTTAGAAATAGCTCTTGAATTATTATAATCCTGCCCACTCAATGGGAGTTGGCTTGGACCATTTACTAAAACAGTTACTTTTTAAAGACTCTTAAGTAAGTCAGTGAATATTGAGCACATAGTCAGCTGGCTTAATAGCAGTTTCTATTTCCTCCTAGTTTCTTTCCTCCTGGTCAGTATGAAATAATATCAGAGGATATCCTTCATCATAGCCTTGGTACAACAATGAAATCAGTGCAGTCCTCCATAGTGCTGTTCTCATGCAACTCACCTCCAATTCTCTTCTAACCATCATTAGCACCATTTAGCTACTCAGGTTCTAGGTTCCAACTCTTTTTCTCCCCTCCTTGAGTTTCTCTCTTCTGTCTACTACTAGGAGCTAGACAATTGGCATTTGAAGTTTGCAAATCACTTTACGTATATTCTCATTTGATAAACTGTGCACCAGCCAATCAAATGCATCTGAGAAACGTTCTAATGTCAACAATCAGCCTTTTCTCATATTCTTAGGACTTTCCAGACTTGCCCTACATCTGCCCTACAACAAAATTTTCTCTTAAAAAAATGATTTTTATTGATGTCTTTTGTCTTTTTTTATATTACCATAGTTTCCTCATGTTCTGCACTCTATCTAGAGAGCCATCCCATATAAATAGTATTTTTTAAAGCCTAAGAAAGAGGAAAAACCAGCATGACTGAACAATATATTTTAAAAAATCCAAGAATATGTGCAACATGCAACACTTATGGACCTTCTATCCTTGCAAAAAAAAAAGTGAGGTGGGGGCATCTTCTCATATGTCTTGTTTAGAATCATGCTTGTTCTTTATAATTTTGCAACGTTTTTGTTTCTGTGCTTTGTTCTGATTTTGCATATGTATGACTGTTCTTTTCAATTACGTTTTTCTAATTACTGTGTATAATTCTTGCTCTGCTTCCGTTCATGTAGATCTTTCCATGCTTCTCTCTATTCATCACATTAATCATTTTTTACAGCACAATAATAATATTCCATTACATTCATGTACTGTAATTTGTTGTCATTCCCTAATTGATGGGTATCTATTTTGTATCCAATTCTTTGGTATCATAAAAAGTGCTGCTTTAACTATTTTGGTGTAGAAGAAGACTTTCCTCTTGTCAATGACTTCTTTGGATTATATGCTCAGGAACGGAACCTCTGGGTCAAAGGGTGTGGGCATTTCAGTCACTTTATTGCATAGTTAAAAACTGCTTTCCAAAGTGATTGCACCAATTCATCACTTTACCAATAATATACTAGTATTCCTATTTCTCTACAACACTTCCAACATTGACTATTGCTATCTTTTGTTTATTTTTGCCAGTTTTCAGAATATGAGGTAAAACTCGAGGTTGCTTTGATTTGCATTTCTTCTATTGTTAATATTTTGGAACATTTCGTATGGTTGTGAATAGTTTTCAGTTCTCTCCTTTGACCACATAGCTACAGGGGAATGGCTTTTGGTTAGATCTGTATTTATCTGCATATTCTTCTAGCCTATTTCTTTTTTTGGATTTGTTAGTGCTGGGCTCTGTGCATTCCTGGGGTATGGCTGGCCTGAGCTTCCTTTTATATATTTCTGCTACTTCCAGTGCTCCCAAAGTGATGTGATCCAAGGTGAGGTCTGCTCACAGTCCTGGTCTGAGCTCTGCAAGTTCCTGACACAGGTTTCTGTCTGTTGCCTTGTCCCTGGATGGGGGATTTAATAGACAACTCTATCACTATTAACCCGAGAGGCTCTGCAGGTGCAGATTGACTGAAGTGCAGATTCTGCTTTGGTATGTGACTACTGTCCTGATTTATGCTGGGCTGGAGGCTAAAATTGAGTCTCTGCTCTCCTCTTGGAAACAGAGCCACATAGCTAGCTTTTGCTTCTAAAGCATGTTCCCTGCCCAGTACACAGTATGCCATTACTCCTGTCCCCCCTGGATCTGTGACTCAGAATTGGGTAGTGGGTGACAGAGCTACCAGATGGCCCCTATTCCTGTACCCTATGCTAGTTTAGGAATCCCTGAGATCTTTCTGCCCCAGTGCTTTCTACTCTGGTGCTCAATCTCTGTCCTCTTTCAGTCCCTGGACATTGTAATGCTACTTACTGGAAGTATCTCTAAATAAACTCTCTCCCCAGTATCCTAAGATCTCTTCATCCATCTCCCTAAGCTGCTCTGGTCTGGAAAAATAATTCACAGTGACTAATTCTGTCTGGTGTGTTTTTATAGAGGAAATATGGTGAAAAGCTAGACTTCTTTTTTTTTCCTACATCTTGGATACTTAGCCCTTACCACAGAAATCTGACACAAAGATTTCTTTTCCCCTACTTGATTATTCTTTTTATCCTAAGTGAGTTAGATTTGTGTAGTAGCTTTTCAGTTTCATCTAATTAAGTTATCCATTTTATCTTTGTATTTGCCTCTATCCCTTGTTTGGTTAAGAATACATTTCCTTCCCATAGCTGTGAATTATCTACTTCTCTTATAATTTTTTTTAAAATGCTATAATCTTTAATATTATGGTCACTTATCCATTTAGGATATATTGTAGAATAGAGTGTTGGTCTAAGCTTAATTCTATAAGATATTTTTTTATAGTTTTCCCAGCAAGGTTTATCAAATAGGAAGTTCTTTCCTAAGTTATTTTTTTCTACTTTACCAAAAACTGGTTCTCATTGAATATCATTGTTTCTGATTCTCTCTTGTCTAGTCTGTTCCATTGAGCTACTTTTCAATTTTTTAACCTACACCAATTAATTTTGATACTAGTAATATGGTTTGAAGTGTGAAAGTGCTATTCTTCCTTTGTCTTTGCCTTTCTTCCCCATTACCCTTGATATTCTAGATCTTTTGTTTTTCTAAACTAATTGTCATTATTTTATCAAGTTCTATAAAATATCCCACTGATAATTTGATTGATATAGCATTAAAAGCATAAATTAACTTTGTCAGTCTTGTCATTTTTATTATATTGGCACTGCCCAACCATGAGCACCAAATATTGCTCCAGTTATATGAAAGTTGTTCTTTATTTCTTTATGGAATATACTGATCACCTCCTAGACATGCAATCCTGGGAACTGAGGTCAAAAGATAATTTCTTCTGTTGAGGAAGGCTTCTCATCTACAAACATTGCAAAGACATGTCTATGCATAGACACCATTCTACATATAGCTCACCCCTTACTTTTTTCTCATTTTGTTGCATTTGGTTGCTTGGACAATAAGACCTCATGTTCATTTAGTCAAGCTCACTTGAGAACTAAAGTACACTGTACACTTGTTATGTGTTATGAAAAGCAACACCCTCTTTTTGAAACTGTCTTGTTTTCTCAATTTAGCTATTTATTAGATGATACAATTGACTAATATGCATTCATCTGAGCTAATTTGCAAGGATTACACTGAGTGGGACTTTGGTGTCTTTAGTATTGTCAGAGGAAGCAAGAACAGAAGGAGACTCTGTTCTTATTTCTCTTACTTTAAAAGATTGCAAATTTTCCAAAGACAGTTTCATTTGGTGCAAACCTTTGAATTAGTGAGCCATAACACAGCATGTATACTCTTGGACCAATGAATGATAAAGAAAGGAAAGCAGGATTTTTCAGTATACGAAAAGATCTTGATGTTCATTCTTAATAAAATTTGGACATATTCTGTACAAAGCTGCTACAACATACATTACTTCACAATAATTTCATTAATACTTTACAACCAAACACTGGCAAATTCATGAAACTTTGCTGTAATGTTTTGTCTACTCTTCCACTTATGATGAGTCTTCTCCCTTCTACCCCTCCTCTCATGGAAAAATAGCTTCATGTAATATAACTTTAGCCTACATTGTGTTTCTATTTACCCAATTAGCAATATTAGGCAGAATATAACTATATACTTTTCAAAATTTTATTTTTTCTCAATTTCATGTAAAAATAATTAACATTTTTTTAATTTTGAGGAATTGTTTTGACATGCAATTAAGAAAAAGTAAAAATTTTAAAAGTATATAGTTATATTCTGCCTAATATCATTAATTGGGTCAATAAAAAGACAATGAAATTTTGAGTTCCAAAGTTTCTCTCTCCCTCCCTGTCCATACAATTAATTAATGTTCAGTTAATATGAAGCACCTCACAGAAGAGTCTTAGAAAGGCAGTGTATTATTTTAGTTACAACATATTCCTCTTTATCTAGTTATTTTAATTTAAAAAAAAAATAAGTATACTCACTGAGATTATGATTGTCCTTTTTTTGCCTCTCTTTTGCCAGAGCCCGGGTATCTGTTTCTGACCAAAAGCAATATTATTAAAATAGACTTTGATTCTACCTAAGTTTGGATAGCTTTACTTAATATATCTAGCAATATCAAAAGATTAAAATTAAGTGGAAGGATGTTTAATTAGATAACACCACTAATCATGCATTTTTCATCTAAATATTTGCAAATATGAAACTTTTCTAGCAAGTCATAATTGTAATTTATAGAATCTCACATGGGAAGCCCAGGGGGTCAGAAGACCACTCACCAATAGGGACTACCCTTTCCCCCTTGCCTTCATAGATATTACATAATTATTATTATTACCTAAATTTTTCAAATAAATTTAGATTTCTCTATATCCTTGAGTTGAATTTCACTTGATTTTCAAGATCCTCTTCTTGAAACATTAATTATGTCCTCTTTAGATCAGCATAACTTCTTTTTTTAAAAAATAATGGTATTAATACAATATTTCCACACTTTCTTTGAATGGGCTTATTGAAAGGTGTGTATGTGTGTGTGTGTATGTATATACAAAGAGAGAGAGAGAAATCTAATTTATTATATGAGGCAGGATTTGTCTATTTATGGCATTAGGATCTAAAGTGAGAAAAATTGGCATGCCCTAAAGAATTAAGTGTATTTCTAATGTAAACAGTCTTGAGGATCATTTTGAGCCACCAAACTAAGATCAGTGTAACCATTTAATTCTAACTCTATTTTGCTCTTGTACAACTAGACTAGGTCAGGAAATGTGGGTCCTGGCTCTGAGAATAACCAGATTTGGGAAAATCCCTTAAGTTCTGTGGGTGCATTTCTTCCTATGTAATATAGTGTAGTGATAGAAGAGATAGACACTCAGCTATTTCCTAGCTCTAGGAAGTTGAAGTGATTCTAACTTCAGTCTCACTCTTTGTGTTTTTGGTATAATGGCAAAATGCAAATGAAAGCAGCTCCACTTGGAAAGTGGAAAAACATCAACTCATTTGCTCATGACACTAAATAATCATTTTGCCTAATTATTGCACCAATTTAATTTATTGTTTTTAATCTAATATTATTTTGCTACAGCAGTTGAAAAAAGGAGAATTTCCGTCAGATTATTTTATGCAGCACAGCCTTGGTATAGGATTAGCCAGTGCCCAAACAACCAATAGCTCAGCCTGGATGATTGATCAACTGATTATCCAGTCAAAATCCTGCGTTGTGAGGAGAGGGAAAAGATATGTTGAGTTTTCCCTACTTCAACTGGCTGTGTCGATAGTGTGAACAAACACACATCATATACGGTTTCAGCAAGCATATTATCAAAACTTGGCCCATTGCTATTTTTAATAGAATATAAAAGTAGCATTGCTCTATTACCTGGGGTTTCCCTTTTCACAGGCAGAGTTGGACAGGATGCATTAGTGAGTCCCATGTTAACTGGTGAAATCCCCTGGTCACCATTGTACACATCCAAGATGCTTCCAGATAACTTTGTGAGGAAGGAGAAGAAGAAAAAGGTTTTAAAAAATCAGAACAGATTAATGACATCATCACCACCACCACGCCACTGCTGCTTCTAATATAGTTTTGACAAATTTTCCATTTATTAAATTTTGGTAAATCTTCATCAGATAGTTGGAAGGATAAAACATACTGCAAGAGAATGGGTGCTTACTACCTAGGCTAAAAGTAAGCTCTAGTGCTAACGGAAACAGAATTCTCGAATATTTTTAAATATTATGAGAGTTTTGATCTATTCCATAGCCTAGCTAAAAGTAGGAACGCTTAAGAATCATAGCTTGGGAGAAATGAATAGCACATGAAGAGAGATGGAAACTTCATTGCAAGTTAAAACTAAGGAAGACCTGTTGGGAGAATTTCTTTAAATACTAGTGTATTAAAGTATAAAAGTATTTTATTAAATGGAATTTCTTAAATATTAAATACTTAAAATACTAATTTAAATACTAAATAAATACTATTAAGCATCTCATGTTCAAAAGGAATATCACATAATAAAATTAAATGAAACTTATTTTATGAAAGGATTATTTTTCTTGTTATAGATATTTCAGCTGCATATAAACTCTAGGCTAACATCTTTCCTACTAATAAATGTATGGTTCATCCAAATAGAGCAACACTGTGTTACTTAAGGTACTTCCAAGAGAATGATTCTGTGGAATGCCATTTCTTATGCTCAATCTGAAATAGCCACCAAGGCAATATTAGAAAATCTGTTCACGTATCTGAACTCCCAAGAAAATGAATTTCAAAGCATGCTTAGAATTTGTTCTAATTATTACTGAAGAAAAAGCTATACTTTATAGCAAGAATCTGAAAGGGAACCACATTTCCATCTGAAATAACTAGATTTCACTTTAGATAGCAAACCAAGAACTGGACAATAGCAAGCTTTCCACATTCTTCAAGAACTAGGTATGGTCTCTTTCCTTGACTCAACCCATATGTCTTCAACCTTTCACTCCTAAAATCCAAGAAAGCGGCATCTCTTTCCAATTCCGAACTGCAGAGGTACCACCATTCCTGATTTGTGTTATTAAAGTCCTTGCAAGCCGATTTCTGAACCTACCGCTTAATTGAAACCGTTCCCTCAAAGGTTACCAGTGGGCTCTTAAGCGCTAGAACCCACATCCTTTTTCAAAACTCATCCTTATTGCCCTTTCTGAAGTTTTAAACAAACCCTTCCTCCCGAATCCTCTCATCATAGGAGTAGAAGATTGCAGATTAAGAACATTAAAAATGACCTCCTGTCCCCTGGCCATCTCACATGTTCTCCCTCCTTCACCTGTCTCATAAAATCTCTAACTTCCAACAAGATACTCAGGCATCACCTGTGATATGATCCCCACAAGAGCTGGCACCCTCCCTGCCTAAACGACCATGGATTTATCTTGAGAGTATCGAGGATTCTGCCTCACATCCCTGCCATTTTCGTAGCATATCTTCTCCACTCCAACCATCATCTTCACCTTCTCCGCACCAGAACCTTACACTCTGCCCCCAAAACCACCCTGGGCTCTGATTGTCATGCTTTTTGCCTTATTCTGGCCTAATATAGGCATCCACATCACTTTGAGGCCATTTCCATTCCATGCTGCTGGTCGTTCATACCTCCTCCTCTGCTTTAGAGATCCTCTTTCTATATAGTTCCTCCCTCTGCCCTCATTAGAACACATGCTCCCAGAGGCCAGAGACTTTCTTTCTTTCTTTCTTTCTTTCTCGTCACACAGCTAGCTAGTAAGTATCTGCGGCCACATTTGAATTCAGGTCCTCCTGACTCCAGGGCCAGTGCTCTATCCATTGCGCCACCTAGCTGCCCCCAAGACTATCTTTGTTGCTTGAGTTTTCAGCTCTAATACTTAGCATAGTTCCTGGCACATAGAAAACATTTAAAAAATGCTTGCTTCATCAACCTATTTTGTATTTTGGGGGGGATAAGGAAGAGTGAGGTGTTATCTCCCCCTATACTTATGTAAGTTCCTTGAAAGCAAGGACTGTTTCATTTCTGTTTTTGTATAACTTGTACCCATCACAACACCTGGCACATAGTAATACTTCCTAAATGTTTGATGTTTATTGATTGGAGTCGAAAGGAACTTGAGTGAGTTGTCCAGTCAGTGTCACACAGGTAGTAAGGGGCAGAGCTAGAATTTGATTCCAGATTCTCAGATTCCAAATCTAGTGCCCTTTCCAATGATCCATGTTACTTGGTTTCTATGAAAAAGCTCTTCCAAGTCTTCTATTTCTTCCACTATCTAGTTACTTGTCAATGCTTTGTCATTCACCTCCTGCCCCTCCCTTGCCCCCATGAGTATATGTCCAAGGCTCTGACCAGAGTCTTTCTCCCTTGTCTACATTCTCTCCTTTGGTGATCTTATCCAATTTCATAGTTTCAATGATTACCTCTACATAGTTGACTCCCAAATCTTCATATCTAGACCCTAACTCTCTCCTTAATCCTCTCTCTGAAAATTCTCTTCTACCTCACATATTCTACACCCTCAACCGTGTACTCACCATCTTTGGATGTCCAAAGGCCTCTCAAACTCAAAGTGTTCAAAGACCAATTCATCATCTTCCAGTCACCCAGGCTCAAAACCTGGATCATCTTTGACTCTTCCATATGCTTCTTCCCCCATATCCAACTGGTCATCATGTCCTACTGATGTTACCTCTCTCTACATGCCTTGTGTCTATCTCCTTTTCCCCACTCACATTGCCATCACCACTCTTCAGACTTTCATTTCATCTTGCCTGGACTATTGCAATACCCTCCTGATTGGTCTCTTGTCTCCATTCTGTCTCTTCTCCAAGCACATCCTCTACACAGCTACCAAAATAATCTTCCAAAGATACGTGTCTGACCACATCACTCTTCCATTCAAAAACTCCTAATGGCACCCTTTTACCTCTAGGATAGAATACAAGATTCTTAGCTTGGCATTTAAGGCCCTTCACAATTGGACTGCAACATACCTTTACCATCTTATTTCATGAATCCTACATTCCAGCCAAACCTGGTAGCTAGCTATTCTCTAACCTCAATATGTTGCCTCCTCTCTCTGTGCATTGCATTTGCTTTCCCTTTAATGGAATGCATATGATAGAAAAGTACTTTCTTCTCATTTCTACATTTGAGAAGCCCTTTATCTCTTCTTGGCTCACATCAACTGCTTTTTTCTCCATGTATCCTTCCCAAATTCCCTGAACAAAAGCCTCTTTTATATCATGTATTCCTAAATCAACTTGCTTGGATTTCTCTTTTATTCCCAACCACTCTCCACTTGTTATTCTACTTAACTCTGTCCATATCATGTTCCTCCCACACAGTTACCAACATAGTAGAATTTACCTCCCTTTATGAATAGACCATGCCCCATTTTAATCTTTTTATTCCCAGTACTTAACACACTGCCCTCTACATAGTAGATATTTAATAAATTTTTGTTAATTTGAATCATGGAGGTGATTCTCCATTTTCAAAGTTTTATAGTAATAGAAGTAGCATGTTATAGTCAATAGAGAGCTCAACTTGGAGCCAGAAATATCTGGGTTCAAATCTCATTTCTCTCACAGAGATAGCTAGGTGGTGCAGTGGATAGAGCACCAGACTTGGAGTCAGGAAGACCTGAATTCCAATCCAACCTCAGTCACTTACTAGCTGTGTCACCTTGGGCAAGTCACTTAACATTTGTTTGCCTCAGTTCCCTCAAGTCTATAATGGAGATAAAAGGGATAAAACCTAGCTCACCAGGTTACTGTGAAGATAACATGAGATATTTGTAAAGCGCTCAGCACTGTACCTGCCATAGTATAGTAGGTGCTATATAAATGCTTACTTCCTTTCCTTCCCCTCCCTCCTTTTGACACATAGTGCCTTTATGGCCCTGTGCAAATCCTTTCACCACATAGGGCCCTAGAACTAACTCCCCCAGTTGCCAAGAAGATAGCGGTCTGCACTGGCAGATGGAGTTTCCTTACCTGGGAACTCCCTATATCAATGAAATCAAAGGTCCAATCCCTGTAATAACAGACAAATATGAAAATAGAGAAACCATGGCGTAGAGGATAGAGAGCTGGCCTTTGAGCCAGGAAGACCTGAATTCAAGTCCTACTGGGTGTCTATGCAAGTCACTTCACTTTGCAGGGGCTAAGACAATACGTTACGTAGCACATACCAACCTGAATTAGAAGAGGAAGTTTCCCAACTGGAAATGTATTGTACTAAGCAAAGGTCTAGTCATGCAGGGGTGGGGAACCTGCAGCCTCGAGGCCACATGTGGTCCTCTAGGTCCTCAAGTGTGGCCCCTGGTTTGAGAATGAAGGACAAACAGTAGCAGCAGCAGTGTCTATCCCAGTAAATTTGTAAAATATTTTACACGTTATATCACTTAATCTTCACAATAACCTGGTGATGTAGGTGCAATTATTATACTCATCCTACAGATGAGGAAACTGAGGTAGAGAGAGGTTAAATGACTTGCCCAGGGTCATACAGCTAATAAGCAACTGAGGCAGAATTTGAACTCTTCTCCTTGATTCCAAGTGCAGTGCTCTAGCCACTTAGATGCCTTTATATTTTCTAAGTTCAAGCTCTGCCAAGCTTTTACAGATTTGGAAAGGCTTCAATTATGGGTCTGGTAAAAGACATTATGCCTGTTATCTGAGGCCCAATTTAGCTAAGCTTGAAGAGACTCATCACCACAAGGGCATTCACTAAGTAATGACTTTTCCACTATAGCAACCCATGAAAACCATCATGTAAGTCACAGAGGGATTATGATAGAAATCAGGGAATACCTACTGTGATACAGACACAAATCTGAAATATTCAAGCTGAAGTTGTATCTCTCTGTTTTCAATCTGTTGCAAAGTTTCCATAATCAAATTTTAAGTTTCTTGATGTAATCTCATCTCTTTTTCTCCACAATCCATATTTCATTTCAATAAAGATACAGACTTTTT